TTTATTATTTTAAAAATCTAAGTTCCAGGGGCACATTATGAAATCTTTCAAGGCTATTTTCCTTTTAAAATGTGTGTGTGTGTGTGTGTGTGTGTGTGTGTGTAAAGTGATTGCAGTTACATCTTGAATTCTTTTCTTAACATATTACATTATGATGAATGAAAAGAATGGTACAGAATGTGATTCACGGATACCATTTCTTCTTCTGGAAAAAGTGATTTTCCTTCTGCTGTATGGCTCTTTGGGAAGCTGGATGTTACTGCTGTCAGTGAACTACACAGAAATGGGTCATACGGTCATGCATTTGATTCATGAGCCAAGTTCAAAGTGGTTTGCAGAATTGTTAGCCTGTCAGCAGAACACGTGTTCACCACCTGTTTTAAGATTTGGTTCTAAGTGGCTCTTACATAGGAAGAGAAAAGGACATATAAACTATGTTCCATGTGTTCCTGATAGGAAATAAAGCCACAGAAAAAGTCCCAAGCTGTATTGTTTCATCACATTTATGTTACAACCAATCTCCAAGCATCACAAATAAGCACTGTAACCACAAAATGGTCTTGTGTGATAGGATCAGTAAAGAGATGATGACTTGCAGCATCCTCAATTGGACTGTAGGGGGAACCATGGGCAAGGAATTAATGTGTTTCCCCCATCTTCTATTTTCACCTAGCTATATGTGATGTTAGGACATTTCACCCAAACTTTTCATGTTTTCCCTTATATGTAGAAATGGGATAATGATCACTTTCCGGAATAATCAAAGCTTTAAAAAGAAGCATTTTGTGTGATAATTTGTGCCAGAGAACTGTGCCTAAAGTTTTGGCTGGCTGGTTGAAATCAAGAAGCTCTATTGGGCCACTTTCACAATGACCTCCGTTGCTCCACAGTTCAGGACTGTTGCTACATGCGGCAGGAAGGAAGAGACAGGTGTGCCTACTGAAATTTTATCTTCCGTGCCACTGTTGGAAGCAAGGGATCCCTGTCCTCTTTTGCATTTGGTCATCAGATGGAGAGAGCCAAAAGGCTGTGCAATAGGGATGATGGTGCAACTGGACTTCTCTGCGACCCTTCCCCTCTGCAGGGAGGTGGGACCGATTCGGATGGTCCGCCCCTGCCACTTAATGGATACAAATGGTTTCCAGAGAGTGGTAGGGGATGCTTTATCCCATGTTGATGGCTTTTCAGCTGATTCCCTGGTGGCCTGTTGGAATGCAGAGTTAATAAGAGTTATCAACTGTATGGCTCCGAAGTGCCCTCTCCGATTGCATGGAGCCTGGACAGCCCCATGGTTTCCATGGAGCTGAGGGTGATGAAACAATCACTGAGATGGCTAGAGCACAGGTGGCGGAAAACTCATTTTGAATCAAACCGGACACGGGTTAGAGCTCAACGTCGAGCCTACCAAGTGGCAATGGCGACGGCGAAGAGGGCCTTCTTCACTGCCTCCATTGCATCTGCAGAAAACAGCAGCAGGAGACTTTTTCAGGTGGTTCGCAATCTATCGGAACCACCTGCACCATCAGGGCCTGGTAGGGACCCCAAGATCTCCTGCAATGCTTTTGCAAAGTTTTTTGCAGATAAAGTCGCTCAGATTCAGAAGGAGGTAGACTCCACCGTGGGAGCAGGGCCAGGGTGGGAGAGTGCTAGAGTTCTGTCTAGTCCTGTTACATGGGATCAGTTCCAATCTGTTACCTCCGAGGATGTGGACAGGCTGCTTGGACAAGTGAAACCAACCACCTGTCTCCTTGATCCTTGCCCATCCTGGCTAATAAAAGCGAGCTGGGAAGGGCTGGGCGATGGGCTCTGTGGGGTGGTGAATGCTTCCCTCTGTGAAGGAGCCTTCCCAGACCCGCTGAAAGAGGCGGTCATTAAACTGCTTCTTAAAAAAACATCTTTAGACCCGGCCAATATGGCCAACTATCGCCCAGTCTCAAATCTTCCATTCTTGGGCAAGGTGATTGAGTGGATGGTTGCTGAACAACTCCAAGCATGCCTGGAGGATGCGGACCATTTGGATCCCTTCCAGTTGGGATTTGGGCCTCATCATGGGACCGAAGCTGCCTCGGTCATACTGGCCAATGATCTCCGGCAGGCTAGGGACAAAGGTGAAAGCTGTTTCCTAGTTCTGCTGGCTCTCTCAGTGGCCTTTGATACCATTGGCCATAACATCCTTCTGAACTGTCTAGAGGAGCTGGGGGCACTGTTATACAGTGGTTCTGCTCCTTCCTCCTGGGGCATGTCCAGAAAGTATTGTTGGGGGATGAGTGTTTAGACCCCTTGGCTCTCACTTGTGGGGTGCGTCAGGGTTCCGTCCTCTCCCCCATGCTTTTCAACATCCAAATGAAGCCACTGGCTTACTCTACAGCTAGTTAGGGAGTACAAATTGTGGCATACAATAACTTAAAAAGGGCCTGCTGGATCAGGCCAAGGGCCCATCTAGTCCAGCATCCTGCTCTTACAGTGCTCAACCAGATGCCTGTGGGAAGCCCACAAGCAGGGCATGAGCGAATATGATGTTTCTTGCTCATCCAACACATGTATGTGCAGACGAAATGCCGCCAGTCTCATCCACCTGCTTGGATTTCAGTTTGAAATAAGGACATGAATGAACATGGGGTTGTGAGAAATCCCTGGAGCCCGGCTTAAACATGCATTTTCCATACCTCCACCTGTGAACCAAGGAATCAGATGCTTCCAAGGATCCATGTTTCCTGCTTCTTGCAGGGATGCTAACCAGTTTGGGCAAAGGGGTTCTATTGCAGTTTCAGTACTTATGGGGTCTTCTTGTGGAGCAATTCTCCATTTTACTGAAGGGAGCACATTTCTTCTCCTTTGTTCTCAATGCATTGCCGAATGTCTAGCTCAGGCCAGCTACCCAGCCTGGATATAATTCAGAGGATTTTGCATACATCATTTTCTTGGCAACAGCTGCTGTGAATTGTGGCGCTCAGGCAGCCCAAGGAGAAATCCCAGCTGTTGCATTCTGGGTTTAATGGCTACAAACTGTAAGGGATGCATTGATTCTCTCTTAATTGTTATCAACACAACATTTCAATTGACCGGATTCTGAGTAGTAACTGGTGCTGCCATTGTTTGCTCTCGTTCACTGAATAGGACCGGCGCTTGTTCTCATTACCTTCAGAAGGTGTGTCATCAATAAACACTTTAGTCTGAACTAATGGAGGATGCTATTTGTATTGGGTTAATGGCTCTCTTTAAGGTGGAATAAATGGAAGCACTTCTTTCCGTGTTAGCATCCTCTTTCATATATTCACCTTTTTAAAGGGGAAAAAAATCCTAGTTCTTAATCTTATCATTATATGCCATGGAGATGGGGGCAGGTATCAAAAGCTTGATTGTCATCTATACAATTGAACTCTGTCGCTCTCTGGGCTTGTAAAACCCTTTTAAGAATAATGAAAGAAGATAGCATTCCATGTTTTCCTCTGATTTAATTTCTTCTTCTGTGCTGTTGCTTTCAAATAGCTAACAGTGGTGGCTAGTACCCATTGCAACTGATAAGGAGGAAGGCAGGGAGACAAACAGTAGGTGGAGCTAGAGCTAAGGATAGAAAGAGCCAATCAATTCCAGTTTTGTCCCCATTCTCCTCCTTCCCGAGCTCTACAAGGGAGACACTGAGGGAGAAGATAGACAGGCATTACGACCCCTTGGCCTGGTTCTGAGTAAGAAGGCAGGGAAGGGCAGGGGGCAGGGGGTAGGGGGCTGGATGAGGGCAGACTGAGCTTGATGAGGCAATGACCCATCTGCCCTCCACTGTTAGCTACTGCGTTTCTCTGTGGTTGTTGGTTCTTGTACCATCACTTCTTTAGCCATTGATCTGGCGTGGTATTGCCACAGTCTGCAAACCCATTAAAGCATGTTGATGTTTCTTGTTGACATAATGTGGAGTTCCCTACCTATACTCCACACTGAATTAATAGCTGGGTTGTCAAATGAAGCCAAGCAAAGCAAAGCCTGGCCTGGCCTTCACCAGCGATTCTGCAGAACTCAACTGGTGAAGCTTTTAACAGAATGGAGATAAGCATTATCACCTGGAAATGTTTGCAAATTAAGCTACTGTGAAAAGCATGGGAGCAGAAGGCAGTAAAAAAAAGGGGGGGAATGACTAGGTAACTAGGGGAGAGAGGAAAAAAATTGAAAGCCTCAGGTATGAAGCTGCTGGTCAGATGCAGACAAGGGCAGAACTCCTTTACCTTGGGAATGATACGCATCTCTTATTGCTACAGGAACCTGGTCCCGATATGTAACTGCATACAGTGGTACCTCGGGTTACATATGCTTCAGGTTACATACGCTTCAGGTTACAGACTCCACTAATCCAGAAATATTACCTGGGGTTAAGAACTTTGCTTCAGGATGAGAACAGAAATCGTGCTCTGGCGGCGCGGCGGCAGCAGGAGGCCCCATTAGCTAAAGTGGTGCTTCAGGTTAAGAACAGTTTCAGGTTAAGAACGGACCTCCGGAACGAATTAAGTACGTAACCCGAGGTACCACTGTATTGGCTTTCATCCCTTGTAATAATACAAGCTAAGCCAACAGGCATTAGCCGCAGATGCTTCACACGGTGGGTGTGTTTGTCAGCCTGAGAGCCACACAACCTTCAGGAAGGGGCTGCATGCCACTGGTGGGTGCAGGCTCAGCCAAAGATGCTTTGCCACTGTAGGCAAGGTGCCCCGATGCTGCCCAATAACCCCCACAATGCCACCTTCTGCAAACCAAGTCAGCAGTGCAATGGTGGGGTTGGGACAGGGGTCAGATCTGCTGCCTGAAGCAAATGGCTTCACATTGCCTAATGGATGGTCCTTTCCTGGGTGCCTGTGACCAGAAGCAAGAGAGTAACAGGTGTGTGTTTTACCTTTGTACTGTAGCCTACATTCCAGCTTACATTGCTCTCTCCTATGATCGCAGTTCAAGGGCACATGCCAGCCAGTCAGCCAGACAAAAAAGCATGAGAGGAGAGCCAGTCAGAAGTTGCAGCCTGGATAGAGGGGTCAAGGCATGAGACCCTTAATCTCAGGCTCACGGGTTCGAGCCCCACGTTGGGTGAAATATTCCTGCATTGCAGGAGGTTGGACTAGATGGCTCTCGTGGTCCCTTGCAACTCCACAATTGTTTGATTCTGTGACTCTGCCTTGAGCCTAATCTGTTTCATCTCTTCTTGTGCAAACCTCACGTGCCAAGTCAGACATTGTCCCCAGTTGTAAAGTTAGCAACGTAGCTGCGCCCCCAGCTGCAAGGCCACCCTCCAATCCATTGTGAGCAAAAGGTAGATATTCTGCTATTACCTTTGAGTCAGGACTTGCAGAAATTGACAGAGGGACACTTTTGCTGAAAACATCTGGCTAAGAACCTCTGAGATTATACTTCAATAGCACTTTTGCTTTTCATCCCTGGCTGGCATTGAAGCGGCTAGGAAGACACATGCATCTTCATTCGTCATGCTGTTTAGAAAATGTGGCTTTGTGCTTCACAAATATTTTAATCGGGTAATCTCAAGCCATCTGGCAAAGAATAAACATCTTCTTTGTTTTAATTATGTACAGCCTTAGGTCTGATGCTAATTGACAATTTTAAAGAAGGTACGGATGGCAAAGAGAGAGCGAGATCAAAGATTATGTTGTACTGAATATTACAGTTTATGTAGCAACCAGCACAGATGTGGAAGCAGCTGTAAAGAACAATTAGCACCATTTCTGAACCTGCAGTAGCATATCTCATAATGAGTAAGGATCACTCGTAGCCTTTTACTACTGTGTACCAGCTCCTTAATTCTGCAGGAGACATGTAATTCTTCAGGGAAAAGGTCATTATTGGAAGACGTTGAAAACCCAAGATGTGGTGATTACAAAACAGAAATGGGAAGTTGCTACTGTTGCCCCCAAATTTCTGCTTTATAATTCCCATGACTGGGATTTTTAAAGTATTCAGTAATGACCCCAAAATACATTTATAGAAGTATTAAAAAAATCAGCCCTATGTAGCAATAATGGGTTGTATCCAACAAAGTTGCCCTAGACTTTTGCCAGCATGATGGAATGTCCTCTCACTGTGTGCCCTAACACTTCCCAAATCTGTTCTAGGGGTTCCCCCAGCTACTGGGGGACATACACAAGCCGTGCACTTATTCCTGCTAAATGCTGCTGCCTCTGCTGGAAAACCAGCATGACCTGAGAGCCAGACTGTTAGCTGGAAGCTGATCTGAGCAGCCTTACACCTCTTCCCCATTAGCAACTTTTTGCTACTTTTGCCCTCCAGCATCAACCCCCATTTCCAGGTATTCCTCCTAACCCATTGGAGAGAGCTGAAGAGCGGTTGGTTCACTTGCTGGGGAGAAAACAAGCATGCATGCATTCTTGGTTAACAACTCTTTCTCCTCCCTGCCTTCACTACTTCATAGAAGACATTGTTAAGGTGAAACCTACCTATCATTACATAATCCAATGCATATTGAATTAGAAGTAACTCCCACTGTGTTGAATGAGGCTTACTGGCAGGTAATATGCTTGGTTTGCAGCCTCATGGGCCAGGGGGAACTCACCTGTTTCGTTTCTTCTTGTTATGCGCCCAATTATGTGTATCTCTTCAAAGGCGTGTCTCTTTAAATTCTAGGATTAAATTATTATCCCCAGCTTGTTATGGCCTTATTGGATTTAGTGGGACCATTATTAGGCTTTTGGGAGCTGCGGGGTAGAGACAGACTTATTTATTTGCTTCTTATTATACTGATGCCCCAACTTTCCTCCAAGGAACTCAAGGTTGCATTCATGCTTCTTCTCTTCCCCTATTGGATTCTCGCAACAACCCTGTGAGGTCTCAGCTGAGAGACAGTGACTAGCCCTGGGTTACCCAGTCAACTTCATTACTGAGTGGTGATTTGGACCCTGGTCTTTAAGGTCCTAAGCCACTAATATCCTTTCACCTTACTTCACATTCTTGAAAAAAAGATGTGGAAGTGAACAGCCTGGGGTGGAGGGGATACTCTAGAAGCTTTTTAGGTTTCTTGTGAACAGTCCTGCCTAGCACCTGCAAGACTAACCAATTTTGGCTGCAATCTTGTACCTGCTCATCAGGTCCTTGATATGCAGAGGGATTTATTTCTGTGTAGACAGGGCTTTTTTCTGCTGGAACTGGCCAGAACTAAGTTCCGGTACCTCTCAGGTCGGTGCCATTGGCATTCTAAGAGAACAAGCGAGGCATTCAGGGTGAGTGTTGGCACCTCTTTTTCTAGAAAAATAGCACTGCATGTGGAAATGTTAATCAATGTACAGTTATCGTGTCCTAAAACTCTCTCCTGCCAGTATAAAGTTTGGTCACATGGTTGGGGCCAAGAGGGAGAGGGGGGCCAAAGAGGAAGAGGAGGGCTAAGGGCTCCCCAAAACCTGGAGCCAGTCCTGACAGGAAGCTCCATTGCACAGGTGAAAGTTTTTGCACGAAGAGGCTGACTGCTTTGGATATGACCACACATACAGCATGCCTGTCTGTATAGTTATAATTTTTGAAAGAAATTATAAGGTATTCTCTCTCATAGGCACAGCTGTGCTTTAGAAGTGGGTTCATTCCCATCCCCTATGGCATGTCAGCCAATGTTTACAGGGAGAGGCACCAGATCACATTCAGGCTAGGCTAGTTTGAGCAAGAACGAGGAGTGGGTCTGTGTACTAGGCCCTCTGTTGTAAATAACGGCTGCTATTCTGAAGTGTCAGTGTGCCTGGGATAGGGCTATTCATTTATTAGAAGTGGCAGCAATACAACTTTTGAACAGGGCTCTTTATTTTGCATGTGTTGTCTTAAAATAAGAGAGCGGTGTGGGGGGAAGAGGCCTGTGTAATTAAATGTATTTCAGACTCATAGTATAGAAACTCATATGCTCATGGTACAGAGAGGTAGAAAACAGCAGTACAGATTTACAAGCTAAGGAGCAATTAAGTTAAAAAGACAAGCAAAACAAAGCCCTTTTTTATGAGCAAAAAACCTCCAAACGAAGCTAATAAATAAATAAACTCAAACAGGTTTCCAGTTTCAGATATCCCCTCCCTCCCCCACAGCTCATATTTAAGGCCAATAAGTCACATGGTAGCTGTCCATAATCATTTTTAAGAGTGTTCCCAGCATCTAATGAGTTTTTTAAAGGCAAGTTTAAAATCTTCATTAAAACTAGTGTACAAGAGAGGATTGATAAGAGAATTCACATAACCCAGCCACGTCAGAAAGTGAGCCACTTCCGCCGATACGGTGCTAAGCTGAAGGCCCACAGCGAGCTCCTTGATAAAAAATGGCAGCCAAGACAAAATGAAGGCGCCTAAAATGAGGCCCAGGATGCGTGCAGCCTTTCGCTCCCTCACACTGGAAATCTGTTGACGGTCTCCAACCAAATCCAGGTCGTTGTCAAAGGGGGAGGTCCTCACCGAAGCATGCATCCTATCAAATTCCGTGGTCGGGTCTGATGTGGAGAAGTCTGAGACGCAGAAGGTCTGCGTGAGCTTGCAACTCGCAAATGAGTTTTGGCTGTCGGTGCTCCTGCTGCTGAGGTGCCGGCTTGACCCTCGTTTTTGGTAAAGGCTCTTTGCCGCGTGGTAGATTCTGTAATAGAGAATCAATATGAGGGTCAAAGGGATATAAAAGGCCCCAAACGTAGAGTAAATGGTGTAGATGACGTGGTTGTGTTGAATCTGACACTCGCTGGAATTGGTGTCGGCGCTGTGGTTTCTCCAAAACAAAGGAGGCATGGAGATGCACGTGGATATTGTCCACACTGTGCCAATCATAACTCCAGCTCTCTTGGCCGTCCTCTTCCTGGCGTACTCGATCGCATTTGTAATCGCCCAGTATCGATCCAGCGCGATGACGCAAAGGTGAAGGATCGAGCACGTGCAACAGGTCATGTCTATGCTCAGCCATATCTCGCACAGGAAGTATCCCAAAGTCCACCTTTCCATCACGATGTATGTGATACTCAAGGGCATGACCAAAACGGCGACAAGCAGGTCCGTAACAGCCAGCGAGCAGATCAAGTAGTTGGCAGGCTGGTGCAGCTTCTTCGTCAGGCAGATTGCCGAAATGACGGAAGAGTTCAGCAGCATTGTCAAGGTTGTAATTATGGACAGAGACACGGTAATAAGCATGTTTTCGGTGATAGTTTTGGATCGGACAGCCACGTCGGCTTCTGGTGTGAAGTTGGTGTGATTCATCTTTTCAGACCAATACAAACTGTTCGGTGCCTCCTAGGTCCTGGCAGTGCCAAGCTTTAAAGTTCCTCCATTCTGGAAGATCACTAAGGATACTTCGGAGTTGGAATACAAAATCCTAATGTCACATTTCCCCTCAGATCCAGTTTGCTTTCCCCTCCAGTTTGCTGCTTGCTCCTGGAAGATAAAAGGATGTTTCTTAATAGCAGATCCTCCAAATTTATTGGTTTATTTATAAAGTATTAAAGACGGCTTTTCTTTATTTGTTTTAAAGAATACCCAAAGCGGCAAAAAAAATTCTTTTTTTAAAAAAATGCAATATTTGAAACAAGATACAAATTGAACACCCAGACTAAATTATGAAACAACCAAAGACCTCCTTAGTGACCCACTGCAGAAGGCTTTGTGGAATAGAAAGGATTGCTTAGGCACCTACAATTAAGGAGTGATGTAAACAGGTGGAATTCTGTAAGTAGCACATTTCACAACCGGGGTGCCACAACAGAAAAGGCACTGTTTCACGCATCTGCAGAACAAACTTCGCATGATGACAAACCCTTAATAGGGATTCCAAAAATAATAAAATAAAATAAAATGGGAAGCTTCTCCTAAGAACTTTAGGTTGTGTTAGAGATTTCTGTAAGTAAGTTCTGTCTCAGATAAATCTGACGTTTAATACTTTCATAGCAGAGTCAAATCTGAACTTTATTCTTCACGGCTACACAAAATTTGTGGTAATACAAGCAAATTAATCAACTTACTTCAAGTGGTATCTTCAAGAGGTAAAATGTTTCAGAAAAGCCATACTTAAGCTAATGCATGCTAGCTTTTCATAACATATTTTCACATTTAGGTGTCAATCTTTTGAACAGTCTAAAAATACAGACTTTATAATAAGATGCTGTCAAGCAAAGGTTTAATGATTTTTCACCTCAAAAATAATTTTTTTAAAAAAATGATATTTATTAAGGTTTCCAATAAAAAGAACACATCAATAAAAGATTAAACATAAAAACATAAAAAAGAAATACACAATTCAAAAATACACAAACATAATCCAAAAAAGAAAAAAAGAACAAAAAACAAAAGAAAAAAAAGAAAAAAAAAACAGTTAAGAGCAATATCACCTTTTCATCTCCATTTTTAAATTTACTTATTTTCTGGACCTCCTCATACCTCCCTCTTTTGTATTCCAGTTCAAATTGTTTGTCCAGCAATTTCTTTCCCTCTTTTTTAATCCCAATCTTTAATCTTAATATAATATAACATTAAAATTTTACCTCTTAAAAACCAAGTTTCCATTTCCTTAAACGTTTTTAATCCTAATCCTTAATCTTAATCTATATATCTTTAAATCCTGTACAGCTGGAAGCCACTTATTTTCAATCCAGTCTTTGAATTTCTTCCAATCTTCCTCCACCGACTCTTCTCCCTGGTCACGGATTGTGCCAGTCATTTCCGCCAGTTCCATATAGTCCATCAGTTTCATCTGCCATTCCTCCAGTGTGGGAAGCTCTTGTGACTTCCAATACTTTGCAATGAGTATTCTTGCTGCTGTTGTTGCGTACATAAAGAAAGTTCTATCCTTTTTTAACACCATTTGGCCGACTATGCCCAGGAGAAAGGCCTCTGGTTTCTTGGGGAAGGTATATTTGAATACCTTTTTTAATTCATTATATATTGTCAGGGCAGCCTCAAGTCTCAGCTCACAAAAGACCAACGCCTATG